AATTTTCTTTTGTGGCTAAAGAAATTTTTGAAAATTAATTGAGTCGGTAATAAGTGACATGAAAACTTTTGATTATGAACTCTTAATAATTACGATAATATTTGTAAAATTTTAAACGAAAAACGTGGTGCGCATCTTGTCACTTTAAATGATCATCATCGTCCTTAATTACTTTAACTATTGCTTCCTTCTTCTGTTCTTTTTTTTCGTTAAATGCACACCATGTTTTTCGTTTAAAATTTTACAAATTATCGTAATTATTAAGAGTTCATAATCAAAAGTTTTCATGTCACTTACTATCGACTCAATTAATTTTCAAAAATTTCTATAGCCACAAGAGAAAATTATTTTCTACTTTTTAGTTCATTACAAAAACGTGGTTTTATAAAAAGTTTTTTTATTTGTTATATTATTTTCTTCTTTTTAGTTTTTGATGGGTGGAATTTTATATTTTGTAAACAACTGATTTTGTTTTTATGCTGCGGTCCATTTAAAATCACAGCGACATTAAATTTGGTTTTTTTGTTTAAAATTTTTTTATTTAAAGCAACGCGTCAAATTGCGGCGACGCCTCCAGAAGTTTCGCCATAATAAATTTTATTTTGCTGAAATTGTTCAAGAAACTCGGCAAATCATGGTAAAAGTAGTAAAATATTGCATTGTCATCGGGTTCTGAGCTACAGTAAAAGTTTCAGAGCTCTAGCTTTTTTTTTTTTTAATTATCTTCGCTTCCAACAAGGTTGCAAGCAACCACTTATTAGTGTTGGAAGTTACTGGAAGAGAAAAGATGAAGATTGTAGAGCAAGATAACGATTGACAGACGACTTAAAATATTGCAAATTATATGAATCAGGAAAGCCAGATAAAGGAAGCGAATTCCAAAGAACTGATGTTCGAGGAAAAAAACTAGACGAATAAGAGTTTTTGGAGCACTAAGGAAGAGTAACAGAAAAAGGATGAGACTTGATTGAATGACGAGTAACACGAGAACGAATTTTAGTAGATGGCACAAGAGACGCTAGCTCTTTAGAGCAGTGCCCATTATAGTATTTGTAGAAAAGAGAAAGAGAAGCAACATTCCGACGATGTGACAGAGGTTGAAGGTTGGCTGCAAGAACAGGTCTAACTATGTTTACAATGCGTTTTTGCACCTTGTCTAAAAGAGAAAGTGCATCATTAGAAGATCCGCCCCAGATATGGCAACAGTATTCCATACAAGGCCGGATTTGAGATTTATAGAGATAGAGAATAGAATCCAGAGTAAGAAAGTGACGAGCTCGATAAAGAGAAGCAACTTTAGCAGATGGTAATTTTGTAACGGATTTGATATAAGGTTTCCAAAAAAGATCAGAAGTAAGAGTTAATCCTAGAAGATAAAGGGTAGGAGACTCATCGAGTACATTACCGTTCATAAATATAGGAAGGTCTAAATTATTGCGATAACGATTGGCTAAAAAAAATTGAGTTTTATCTGAATTAAAGTTCACCAGCCACTGTGAGCCCCATGCTGTAGCAGAAGTGAGATCCTTTTCGAGCTCATATGCCCCTTGCAAGCAATCAGTGGGAGTTGGCTTCTTATCGTGACAAGAATAAATGGTAGTATCATCAGCGAACAATGCCACCTTAGATGTGAGAATGTCTGGAAGATCGTTAATGTAAATTAAAAAGAGTATAGGGCCAAGGATTGAACCTTGGGGAACCCCTGAGGTTACAGAATAAGAAGAAGAGTGCTGTCCATCAAGGACAACTTTTATACTACGATTGGAAGGGAAGGATTCAATAATCTTAAAGATGTTTCCAGATACACCATAAGAAGAAAGCTTATGGAGGAGACCAGCATGCCAAACTTTATCAAACGCTTTAGAAATGTCAAGAGCAATGGCCTTAACCTCTCCACTTTTATCTAATGCACGATAAAACCTATCGGTTATTACTGATAGCAAATCAGCCGTAAAACGAGAAGGTCGAAATCCACATTGATGATCAGAAAGTAGGTTATGAGATTCGAGATAAAAGATTAAATATTTGTTAATTAAAGATTCAAAAACCTTGCTTATGATAGGAAGAAGACTAATGGGACGGTAGTTAGATGAATCAGATCGCTTTCCAGAATTTTTAAAAATACGGATAACAGATGCTGCTTTCCAGCAGGCTGGAAAACAAGACTCTGATAAGCACTTGTTGAATAGTTTTGAAAAGATAGACGACAGCTTAGGAGAACACTTCTGCAAGGCTATAACAGGTATGTTGTCCGGGCCGCAAGCTGTAGAAGAGTCTAAGCGGGAAATCACTTTAGATACAGAAGCTGGAGTGATACGAATGTCGAACAATGGATCAACCTGTTTGACGGCTATATCAGGTAGAACGCAACTAGTGGCATCAAGAGATGATATCGATGAAAAGTTCTTGGCAAACAATTCAGCTTTGTCTTTAGGTGAGGTGACTAAGTCTGAACCGTACAAAAGAGGTGGAATTACAGACTTGCCCTTATTATTGATACTATTAAAGATTCTCCAGAAGTCACGAGAGCCTAATTTTTGTGATGAAATACGAGATTTCATGATCTGAGAATAGCGAGCTTTGGCGTTAGACAAAACCTTTTTACAATGGTTCCTAGCAGTAATAAACAGACGTCTGTTTTCTGGAGAATTGTTTTGCTGATAGGTATGGAAGTAATGGTTTCGATTGGCAATTGCAGCAGCACAATGTGAAGAAAACCATGGAGAAGAGTGAGGTTTGACCTGGAATCGTCGAGAGGGAATAAAGGATTCCATGCCAGCCTGAATCCACGAAGTTATGTAAGAAGCACATTTGTCAACAGGGAGACGAAAGATTTCTACCCAGGGGCCATCACGAAGAAAATCACGGAAAGAGTCCCAGTCAGCTTTAAGGTAGTTGTAAGATGTACGATGATAGGGGGATTCTGATGGTAAAGAAGAATGAGATAATAGTTTTAGAGAGACCTAACCATGATCAGACGCACCTAAGGGTGAGTGTGAAGAAACTGAGCACTGACTAGGATCAGAAACAAGACATAAGTCGAGTAGAGAAGGTAAATGATTCAGGTTGTTTGGAAAGCGAGTTGGAAAGTTGACTATTTGAGTTAGGGATTGAGAAAGGCAAAAGTTAAGGGCCTTAATGCCTGCAGAGTCACTGACACTAGAGCCAAGCCATTCAGTGTGATGAACATTAAAGTCACCGACAACAACAATATTGGCTGATGGATAAAGAATGAGGGCTTGGTCAATATAATCAGAAATAACATCAAGAAGAGTGCAGTCTTGGGATGAGGGAGAGCGATATAGAACAAAGAGAAAGGTGATAGAGTGAAGTGGTGCTAAACAAAAGCACAGAAAAGAGTAGTCTGTGGATTCAAACCTAGTTTCCCGACAAATGGGTGAATTCTTACGAATGTAAATGCCCAGGCCAAGCATGTGACTATTGGAGTCTTTACGAATTAAAGGAAGATAACCATCAACACTAAGATCACAAGATGAGACAGCTGAACTCAAATTAGTCTCACAAAGAGCAAGCAGGTCTGGTGAACTTTGCAAGAGGTAAGACTCAACGGAAGAAAAGTTACTTCGAAGACCACGAATATTGGTGAATGATAGGTTTAGCGAACTTGGTGATGACTGTGGTTTTATGTGTTTTATAGTTTTTGTTACTTTATTCATTTTTAAATTTGTTAAAGAACTTGACTCGAAACATTGATAGTACTCAGTACACTGTTTTATAGCTCAAGCAATTGCCTCATTTCCACTAATAAACCCTAAGCCATAACAAAGGGTTCCAATGTGGCCTTGGCAATGTACCAAAAGTACAAACAGGGACACCATCCATGTGCAGCATGGCACTGTTAGTACTCTGATATTTTTCAGCTGTTGATGGAATCAGCCTCTCTGAGAGCTACCACAGAGTTCGGGAAACCTGACTACCAGACGGCCTCAGAACCATAAAACTGAGTTTAAGAGCTGTACCTCATTTGGAGATAATAGAATGAGTTGCCTAGTCATAAAAACAGAGACACAAGCAAAACCCATGAATCGAGTCAAGAAGATCCAGCGTTCAACATCCTAAACTGGAAACAATGTAATAAAAATACATCTGCGCCAGCCTAATAGATGACGAAGGGGTGCGAGGCTGGTCAACAGACAGAATCTGTTTACCCCTTAAGTCTTTGCCTAGGAGGCCTTCTACAAGACAGCAGCCGGATGCATGTAACATTTGCCCAAGATGAGTATTTTTATTGAGACATCATCTCTAGCCTTTACTCAACCAAGAGCCCCAAGGCAGGGGCTGTTTTATGTCGGAGTTTGCATCACCTAGCCTTTGACTAAAAAGGCATATCCTACAAGGCAGCAGGACATGAAGCAGATTGTACTGGGTTACATGTTACCAGTAGCAGGATAAATCTGACCTGACAATATAAAATTGAGTTGCAAAATTCCACCCGGACAAACAAACAAGAAAGCGAGCTAATAAAAACGTGGTAAAAATGGTTCTACGATCCGTCAAGTTTTGATTTCTTTAAATAGTTAATATTTTTAAATAGAAAAACAAAAAAACAAAGTAAAAAATAACAACTTAATATCAAATTATTTTCAGCATTGTTCAATATATTAAATAAAGGATGACCAATAAAATAGCTTAAAAAAAGAAAATCATCTAAAAATTATAAAAAATATTTGAATGTTGAAAAATATTTAAAATTATTGAGTCAAAAATTACTCACAAAAATTATTTTTAAATAAATATTTTTTTCCAGCTGTAAATATAATAATAAAAATTTCTCTGGAATTTTGTTTTGAAAATGTACGGCGAAAAAACTGGTAAATTACGACATACTGAAATTACTGAATAATTTAAAACGTCGTAGCAAGCAAAATGGGTAATTAATATAAAACCTTAGTTTTTTTTCGAAATAGAGATATAAGGCCATTCAACAAAAAATGGGAAATTTTTTGTAAAAGACCACCCAAAAAATGAAATATAAAACATCAACTAAACCTTTCTAGTACTATACTAAATCATAAATACTTTTTTTACGCAGCAATTTTTTCATGCAATTTTTTAATACTAGTTTTCTTATTTCGTCGACAACTAACACAGAGGACGCAATTGCAGTCAATTTTATAATGTCATAAAATGTTAAACTTTCTGTTTGAAATACCCTCTGCAGAGGAGGGAAATAAATTACTAACATTTGACCAATAACGGAACCGCCAACCGCATATAAAAACATCCGATTACTAAAAAAACCAATCTCGAGTATCGATTTAGTCTAAATAATATAAAAGAACTTTTTTATAAGATATATGGTATTTATTTATAATTTAAGTCAACTTATATCATTTATTATAAAAATAACTAATAACTGATAAAATGTCAACAATAAATGAAACTTTTAGATAAAAAAAATAAAATAAAATAAAATTGATAAACAAATTTAATTATTTTACTTTCACCTGAAAATAAAATGAAATTTATAAATTTGTAACTTTTAAGTATTAAATTGATAAAAAATAAAAGAACTTACTTGAGATCGACAACTCATTGCATTGAACATATCAAAAAATACAAAACAAGTGAATGTCATTGTTGTATCGCGTGGTGTTATTATACTGTCAGACATCTATAAAAATAAAGTCATATAATCAAAATTTTGTAATTAAAGATTTTTTTATTAAATAAAAAAGTAAAACATTAAATTTCCAAAAAATTAATAAAAAGTACACCTCATGCCAAAATATATACAATGTGCCAGCTACAATAATTGCTGATGATATCAGGACCTGGATAAGCAGATATCTATTAACCATTGGATCTTTAACTGCACGTGGCTTTTGTCTCATTACATCATCAGTTACAGGTTCCACACCCAAACTAAAATAAATATATTTACAGGTTCAACACCCTAATTAACATAAACAGGATAAAAAATTGAACTTTTAATATATCCTTCTAAAATATTTATTGCTAGAAAAAGAGGATACATGTCCTGTTCCATACATAAATAGGGTTCCACGTCTTGTTTTTATATAACAATAAATATTTAACAAGGAAATATTATAAGTTATCATTTTAAGTAAAAATTCCTTAGTAATAAAAGAACAAAACCTTTGAGCTGGAGGACCATCCATTATAATGTTAATCCACAAAATTTGCATGGCATTTAGGGGATTAGGGAGTGCTAATAATGTAGAAATTGTAATCAACGTGATAGCGGCAATGCTTCTAAAAAAATCCAAAAAGATTTTTTTTTAAAGACTTTTATTTTACAAATTTGTAGAATAAAATGCTTAGATAAAATAAATTTCTTTTCTTTTTTAGAAAAAGTATAAACTTGAAAACATGATAAAACTTTTAGTTGAAATGTTACAAAAAATTGTTATATCTTAATATATAATAAAACATAAGATAAAACTTACGTGCTAAGTTGAAATCTTACGAAATTTCGTATATTATAATAAATTCCTTTTCCTTCAGCAAGAGCTATCAAAATTGTTTTAAAATCATCATCTGCTAATATCATATCTGCAGCTTCTTTGCTAACATCTGTCCCACCTTTTCCCATTGTGATTCCAATATCAGCACATTTTAATGCTATGGCATCATTGACACCATCTCCTGTCATTGCAACAACATGATCCTTTCTTTGAAGAGCCTGTAACCACATGCACATATATACTTACACATACTTATATTAAAGAAACACTCAAATAGTAAAAAAAATTAAGTGCTAACTCGAACTATTGTGACTTTATTCTTCGGACTAACTCGATAGAATACAGTTATCTAAAATAAACAAAACATCAGTTATTATCTTAAAGAAATAATAATAAAAGTTTAACTAAATAAAAATTTTCATGAAAATATTCTCAAGTTGTTAAATAAAACATACATTATTAATAATTTTTTCGAGTTCATAGCTGTCCATAGAATCAATTTGTTCGCCTGATATAACATTTGCTGCTTCTGTATTTAAACCAACTTTACTAGCAATGGCTACAGCTGTCTCTCTTGCATCACCTGTAAGCATTTTTACATTTACTCCACCTTCAATAAGTGTGCAAATAGCATCTTTTACTCCTTCTCGAGGAGGATCAATAATGCCAGCAATGCCAAGGTATGTCAATGAGTTCATTTCCTCCCCATAAGCAAATGCTACCACTACAAAATAAACAAATCAAAAACAGTAAACAAAAAAAAAAAAAAAAAAAAAAAAAAAATCAAACAATTCTTAAATATTTTGCCTCATTTATCTCCATTGTTTTTTACCTCTAAGTCCCTGATACCCCTGACAACTTTCAAGTTTACCTCTTAGTCCTTGGTAACCTAACTTTGAAGCTTCAACTGCTGCACTTTCTTTATGAGCTGATGTTAATATTTTTTTTACACCATAATCTAACCATGTAGAACATTTTTCTAATACTTTTTCAAAGGATCCCTTTACATAAAACATTGGAGCATCCTGGAAAAATGTACTTAAAACATAAACATATATAATACATTAGAACTAACTAATTAAAAAAATGTATTGAAAAGAAAAAAATTTCCTAAAAATGATTTTTTTTTTACAAAAAAAAAAAAAAAAAAAATATATATATATATATATATATATATATAATTTCAAGTATTTTAAAATGTCTTGAAAGAAAACTTCTTAAAAAATTGTAAAAACCTCTGAAAATAATTTTCTACACTTTACTGACATCCATTTGTTTTCAGAAGTAAATGGCATTTCATCGATTCGTTCATACTCTTCATTTAATCGAACTAACCCAAGCTAAAAAATAATTATATTAAACAATTTTTTTTTTTATTTTGAAAAATTTTGAAAAATTTAATCCTTAAATTTTAATGTAAACCTTAAATTTTTTTTTTTTATTTAAAATCAAAACAATGATTCTACTATTATGATGATATAAAGTAATGATTGCACCATATAAGGTAATGATTGCACCATATAAAGTAATGATTGCACCATTCAACTGTTTAATGATTACACCATATAGTTTGTAATTTTCAATATATAACTTGCAACAAAGCTTGCTTCAATTTAGTGTGGAAAAGTAAATATAAAATGCAACAAAATGAAAAAAAGTAATATTGTAAAAAAACAAAACAAAAAAAGCAAACAAACTTTAAGTCCAACAGCAATTATTGCTCCTTCAGTGGCTTGCCCAAAAAGGACAGAATTTTTAATTGAAGCATTATTGCATAAGCATCCTGTCTATATAAAAAGTATGCAAAAATAGAAAAAGTAAAAAAAAAAAGTTAAAAAATAATTTAAAAATTAATTAAAATTGAAAGTTGTCAAACCTTAACAAGAAGAGTTAAAGATTCATCTGAAAATTCACTAGCTCCATGGTTTCCAAATAGTATTTGGCCATGACTTGAATACCCAATTCCAGTCACCTAAATAGAAAACTTTATAATTCCAATCGGCTGAAAAATTTTTTTTCTAAAACTTTAACATACTATTTATATCATTAAATTATAAATAGAAAAAAAAAAAATATCAGTATCAATAAATATCAGTATCAATAAATATCAGTAAAAAAGCAAAAAAACATAAAAAAATAAAAAAAGCAAGATTATGATGTTTTTTTTATGTTTTTTAATAGCTTTACATAAAATAGTTTCTCTAATAGCTTTACATTAGATAGTTTCACATAAAATGTGATTTTTAATTAGTTTAAAAATAAAGTCCTTTATCCTTTCTCTCACCTTTACTCTTCGATTATCTGCAAGAACAATATCTGTTACAGTCATTTCATTTTTTGTTAGTGTGCCTGTTTTATCAGAACAAACAACAGTAGCACATCCTTAAAAAAAATGTTTTTTTTAAATCAAAAGTTTTTTTCCATAATAATTATGAATTTTTTTTGTAACTTATTCAAAATTAAGAGCTCTACCTAAAGTTTCTACTGCTGGTAATTTTTTAACAATAGCATTTCTGTTAGCCATTCGCATAACACCAAGAGCTAGCGTTACAGTTACAACAATTGGCAGACCTTCTGGTATTGCAGCGACTGCTAAACTAAATTAAAAACAATTAATCTAAATTTAAAAAAAATGCTTTAGCCTAAAAGCTTTAAATGAAAATCTTTTTGAAAAGTTTATGTGTTGTTATAATTTTTTAGGTTGCTATAAAGTTTTCTTTGCTAAATAACTTCTCCAAAGATTTGTGTTTTAGAAATTAAAAAAAAAACTTTTCGTATCTTTCTAATCTTAGGTTCAACTTTGGATTTGGTAAAAGTTTAAATTTATCATACCTTACGCCAATGGTAAACATTTCCATGATTTTACGATTTTGTATCCAACCAAGTAAGACAACAAGACCTAAAATTATAAAGAATAAGTAAATATTGAATGATACAACACATTTCAACAACTTAAAAAAAATTAGCATTTGCAGAAAAAAAAAAAAATTATTTACAGCAGTGAAATAATCTGTTAGCAAAAAAAAAAAAAAAGACAAAACTTAAAAACTTGAAAAAAGTTTTTTAGTTTTTTTTTATGTAATAAACAATGAAAAGTGGTAAAATAAAAATAAAACAGATGATGAGGACTTAAGTATTTAATTTTTTTTTTCTGTATTCACCTTCCTTTAAAGTAAAAAGAAGGTCAAGAAGGCTGCTCATTTTTATAATTAACCCTTTATGGTCCAATGTTCCACATGACAAGACACCATTAAATTGTCGTTGCAGTTTAATGCCCAGTACCACAGGACACCTACTATGTTTTTGGTTAAACAGAAAAAAAAATCAATTTAAGCTAACTTTGACAACTTTCTAGGTTCAATTGGTAACATTATAGTGTGTTTTCAATTTAGTGATTTCAGTAACATTTTTTAACTGTCTAACAAAGTTTTTATAAAAAATTTGTTTACAATAGAAAAAGAACCTTATACAACTAAAGATGTATTTAAGGCATTGGATGAAACAAGTAATGAAAGCAACTTTAAATGCACTTTTAGTAAACTTGACCCTGAAGTCTTAGAGATATGAGAGTCAGTGGAAGATATTAAACTAAATGAAATTGATGATAAACCAGGTTTAAACATAGTATGGACAAAAGTAATGCAAAATACACTAGCATTTGAAGCAATACCATTCACAATGTAGGCCCTCAGCATTCAATAAACTTAACAGGTGAACTGGACTGGAAACGCTTGACATTGTTAACCTTTACACAAGGTTCCCCACGACCTTGGTTTAGAAACATTAAAGTTCTGGGTTGAAAAACATAAAAATCTAATACCTGAACGAATTCCTACTAATTTCATTATAGAATCAGCATCATTTATTTTAACCAATTATTTTACCAAATTAAAGGCACAGCCATGGGCACAGACTTTGCACCAGACTATGTATGTCTTTTGATAGACTCTTTAGAAGATGCTATACTTTTTCCTAAAATTTTACCAAGGTTTTTTTGGAATGAGGAAGTTCTAAATATTAAACAGTTCTACTTTAGATATATTGATGATTGTTTTAACATATGGACTAAACATCTAGATATAAAAATATTTAAATTGTCACTCACTGAATTAGATAACTACCTTCACAATTGCCAATGGCATTGAATTAATTGAAAAAATTTTGTAACATTCAACAGTGTTATTTGGAGTATTAAAAGTCTCATTACTTGTAACAACAATAATAAATGACATTCAACAACTAAATGTCATTTATTATTTAAAATGTTTATCGTGTAATGGAAAATCAAAATATACTGGAAAAACAAATAATTTGAGAAATTATGCAAATGGTCATATTTTTAGAGAAAATATAGAGAAATTGCAGAACTGGCCATTCAACAAACAGATTTGACAAATGCGCGTATGGTTGCCAACATTTAAATAATAAAACAATGGATTTTGTTTTTCTGAAACTAAAAGTGCTAAAATTTCATTGTTTATGAAAGTCATTTACATAAACAAAAGCATGATACTTTTAAATAACACTTCCTGTTTTTAAAAAAATTTAGACAATAATAACTAGTAGCACACACCTTAGTGGAAATAATTTATTTAAAAAAAAACGTCCCCTAGAAACGGTTTGCATTTTCAAAACCACAACACATTCTACTATAATAATTTAAATTTTGAAAATTTATTGTATTGATGCCATTTAGAATAAAAGGGAGTTAAACAGACAGGTCATGAATTTTTAGTGTTCAAGATAGGTAACTTCCAGAAATGCTACAAATTTTAAATTTTGTAATAATAGTACTGGTGTCAAATAAGAATGTTTAATAAAAAAATTACGATCATTGGGGTTTAGTAACAATATTAACCAGAAAATTTAGGTTTCACTCTCCCATATGTGGAAGCAAAAAAAAATTTATTTTTCAAGTTTTTTAAACTAGATCAAAATTTATCAAAAAAAAAAAAAAAAAATTATATAAAGAAAATTTGTTTAAAAATAGCAACCAAGTAAAGTTTAAAATCTTTACAAAGTTAACAAAACAATAACTTTTCAATGTTTAAATGTTTTCTTACTAAATAACAATTTTACACATCACGCTCATAATAGCCAAGTTTTTTAAAAATATTCATTGTGCACCCCTCTTTCCCCCTTTCATTCAATTATTTTGACTTTGGGGCCCCAACTAAAAGGTAAATATTAATACACTACTTATAAATATATTGAAAAATAATAGTTTAATTATGTTGAATAAACTTAAATTACTAAATAACAATTTTACACATGAATTTTAGACTAGTTCATAATAGTTAAAAAAGGAACTGAATAGAATATTTAAGTAACATTGAATAGAATATTATATTATAGAAATTAATAAATTTAAAAACACTTGTACTTTATATTACAGAAATAAATAAATTTAAAAAAACTTGTAGAACTAGTAATAGACAGGGAGCCAAAGTACTTAGCATATTTAGAAGCTGGAAAGGAAGAGACTTATTTGAAAAAAAAGGTCAGAGAAAAATTAAGTGAAGACAGGTTTTTAAATGAATATTATGATATAACAGAAATATAAATCAAATTTGAAAAAGATTCCAGTTTATTGTAAAAAGATGAAAGGACTTGTTGAGAGAGTAATAATGGAGAGAAAATTATTGAAGGATTATATTTTAAAGGTTGGAATTGACCTCAGAGACGGATTTCTAAAACTTTGTTTAAATATTATTAAAAAAGAAGCAGAAAGTAAAATAAAAAAGAAAAAATTTAGCTATGAAGAAGGAATAGGCAATGAAAAATACAAAGACGGAGACGTAAATAAATTGTTTATTATTGGCTTATAGAAAATGTGGCTGAATCTCATTCAAATCTTGAAAAAATTATCAATATTTTGAAGCTAAATGAATTACATTACTTTTGCCATTTTGATATGAAAATAATCATTATATTTTCTTGGAATTGAAAGTGCAGCATCAACACATCCTTGCCTTTGGTGTAATTAAAAGTGCAGATTCAACACACCCTTGCCCTTGGTGTAATTGAAAGTGCAGCATCAGCACATCCTTGACCTTGGTGTAATTGAAAGTACAGCATCAACACACCCTTGCCCTTGGTACAATATTAGCAAAGAAAAAATGCAAGATTTTCAAATTCACGGGAAGTATCTGTAAAGATACTTCTCGTGAATTTGAAAATCTTGATCTCTGGGAAGTATTTGTAAAGATATATAAAAAAAAATATGCCAGCTTTCAGCTGCATTTTATAATAATTGTCAACCGTCTACTAGTTAGATCAATCTGATGGCGTCAAAGTTATTGAAATTTTTGCTCTAATGAAATTTCATCTACTTCGTAGAAATACAAACAGAATTTACAACTGCCTCAAATATTTTCAGTCCATAGATACCACTTTATCGGCGAATCAATGGAAACTAAGTTTAGTTTCGAAACTAGAAGGACATATATTATTTCTATACTTAATTCCTTTAAATGTTTAAAAGCGGTTAAAGCTGCATTTCTTAGTTCTGGTTTGTTACCTGAATATGAATTAACTATTAACAAGTTCAAAGAGGCCTATGTCAAACTTGGTCTAAGAGTTTCCACGAAAGTCCACACTCTTATCAAGCATATGTGTGAACTTCTTTCATTTATGGCAAGTTCCAATCCAAATAAAGATTTGGGTTTTTGGTGTAAACAGGCCTTAGAATCTGTTCATTAAATTCTTAAACAATATTGGAAAAGTGGATATAAAGTTTCCAGTAGTCTTAAAAATTATCTTCAAAACTTGCTTAAAGCCATGGTTACGTACAATTCCAGACTTTCTTTAAAACAGTATAAGTATAAAAAGTATACTTTAACAAATATGTGTATTTTTTGGAAATTACTATAGGTTGTAAATGTATATATATATATATATATATATATATATATATATATATATATATATATATATATATATATATATATATATATATATATATATATATATATATATATATATATATATATATATATATATATATATATATATATATATATATATAAACATTTACATGTGTTTCTTAAACTGTTCTCTAATTGAAAAACAAATTAATATATATATATTTTTTAATTATATTCGCTTCCAACAAGGCTGCAAGCAACCACTAATTAGTGTTGGAAGTTACTGGAAGAGAAAAGATGAAGATTGTAGAGCAAGATAACGATTGACAGACAACTTAAAAGATTGCAAATTATATAAATCAGGAAAGCAAGAAGAAGGAAGTGAATTCCAAAGAACTGATATTTGAGGAAAAAAACTAGACAAAAAAGAGTTTTTGGAACACTTAGGAACAGTAACAGAAAAAGGATGAGGCTTGATTGAATGACGAGTAACACGAGAACGAATTTTAGTAGATGGCACAAGAGATGCTAGCTCCTTCGAGCAGTGCCCATTATAGTACTTGTAGAAAAGAGAAAGAGAAGCAACATTCCGACGATGTGACAGAGGTTGAAGGTTGGCTGCAAGAACAGGTCCAACTATGTTTACAATGTGTTTTTGCACCTTGTCTAAAAGAGAAAGGGCATCATTAGAAGATTCCCCCCAGATATGGCAACAGTATTCCATACAAGGCCGGATTTGAGATTTATAGAGATAGAGAATAGAATCCAGAGTAAGAAAGTGACGAGCTCGATAAAGAGAAGCAACTTTAGCAGATGGTAATTTTGTAACGGATTTGATATAAGGTTTCCAAAAAAGATCAGAAGAGTTAATCCTAGAAGATGAAGGGTAGGAGACTCATAGAGTACATTACCGTTCATAAATATAGGAAGGTCTAAATTATTGCAATAACGATTGGCCAAAAAAAATTGAGTTTTATCTGAATTAAAGTTCACCAGCCACTGTGAGCCCCTTGCTGTAGCAGAAGTGAGATCCTTTTCAAGCTCAAATGCCCCCTGCAAGCAATCAGAGGGAGTTAACTTCTTATCGTGACAAGAATAAATGGTAGTATCATCAGCAAACAATGCCACCTTAGATGTGAGAATATCTGGAAGATCGTTAATGTAAATTAAAAAGAGTATAGGGTCAAGGATTAAACCTTGGGGAACCCCTGAGGTTACAGAATAAGAAGAAGAGTGCTGTCCATCAAGGACAACTTTTATACTACGATTGGAAAGAAAGGATTCAATAATCTTAAAGATGTTTCAAGATACACCATAAGAAGAAAGCTTATGGAGAAGACCAGCATGCCAAACTTCATCAAACGCTTTAGAAATGTCAAGAGCGATGGCCTTAACCTCTCCACCTTTATCTAATGCACGTTAAAACCTATCGGTTATTACTGATAGCAAATCAGCCGTAGAACGAGAAGGTCGAAATCCACATTGATGATCAGAAAGTAGGTTATGAGATTCGAGATAAAAGATTAAATGTTTGTTAATTAAAGATTCAAAAACCTTGCTTATGATAGGAAGAAGACTAATGGGACGGTAGTTAGATGAATCAGATCGCTTTCCAGAATTTTTAAAAATAGGGATAACAGATGCTGCTTTCCAGCAGGCTGGAAAACAAGACTCTGATAAGCACTTGTTGAATAGTTTTGAAAAGATAGACGACAGCTCAGGAGAACACTTCTGCAAGGCTATAACAGGTATGTTGTCCGGGCCGCAAGCTGTAGAAGAGTCTAAGCGGGAAATCACTTTAGATACAGAAGCTGGAGTGATACGAATGTCGAACAATGGATCAACTTGTTTGACGGCTATATCAGGTAGAACGCAACTAGTGGCATCAAGAGATGATATCGATGAAAAGTTCTTGGCAAACAATTCAGCTTTGTCTTTAGGTGAGGTGACTAAGTCTGAACCGTACAAAAGAGGTGGAATTACAGACTTGCCCTTATTATTGATACTATTAAAGATTCTCCAGAAGTCACGAGAGCCTAATTTTTGTGATGAAATACGAGATTTCATGATCTGAGAATAGCGAGCTTTGGCGTTAGACAAAACCTTTTTACAATGGTTCCTAGCAGTAATAAACAGACGTCTGTTTTCTGGAGAATTGTTTTGCTGATAGGTATGGAAGTAATGGTTTCGATTGGCAATTGCAGCAGCACAATGTGAAGAAAACCATGGAGAAGAGTGAGGTTTGACCTGGAATCGTCGAGAGGGAATAAAGGATTCCATGCCAGCCTGAATCCACGAAGTTATGTAAGAAGCACATTTGTCAACAGGGAGACGAAAGATTTCTACCCAGGGGCCATCACGAAGAAAATCACGGAAAGAGTCCCAGTCAGCTTTAAGGTAGTTGTAAGATGTACGATGATAGGGGGTAAAGAATGAATGATGGTAAAGAAGAATGAGATAATAGTTTTAGAGAGACCAAACCATGATCAGACGCACCTAAGGGTGAGTGTGAAGAAACTGAGCACTGACTAGGATCAGAAACAAGACATAAGTCAAGTAGAGAAGGTAAATGATTCAGGTTGTCTGGAAAGCGAGTTGGAAAGTTGACTATTTGAGTTAGGGATTGAGAAAGGCAAAAGTTAAGGGCCTTAATGCCTGCAGAGTCACTGACACTAGAGCCAAGCCATTCAGTGTGATGAACATTAAAGTCACCGACAACAACAATATTGGCTGATGGATAAAGAATGAGGGCTTGGTCAATATAATCAGAAATAACATCAAGAAGAGTGCAGTCTTGGGATGAGGGAGAGCAATATAGAACAAAGAGAAAGGTGATAAGTGATGTGGTGCTAAACGAGAGCACATAAAAGAGTAGTCTGTGGATTCAAACCTAGTTTCCCGACAAATGGGTGAATTCTTACGAATGTAAATGCCCAGGCCAAGCATGTGACTATTGGAGTCTTTACGAATTAAAGGAAGATAACCATCAACACAAGATCACAAGATGAAACAGTTTAACTCAAATTAGTCTCAGAAAGAGCAAGTAGGTCTGGTGAACGTTGCAAAAGATAAGACTCAACAGAAGAAAAGTTACTTCGAAGACCACGAATATTGGCGAATGATAGGTTTAGCGAACTTGGTGATGACTGTGGTTTTATGTGTTTTATAGTTTTTGTTACTTTATTCATTTTTAGATTTGTTAAAGAACTTGATTCAAAACATAGATAGTACTCAGTACACTGTTTTATAGCTCTTAACTGTTTTATAGCTCAGTAACTGTTTTATAGCTTTAATATATACTATAAGAACAATTTTAAGATTTTTTGACATTCAAGATAGGTAGCTTTAAGATAGGCATGTTCATACTAATTTAAAGTATGTTTTTAGCAAAATAACACGGTGATTAGAGTTTAGCAACAATATTACCTAAAAACTAGGGCCCTAAGGTCCAAATACTAAAATAGAATAAAGGATGGAAGGAGAGGAGAGGGGCACTATTTTCTTTTTGAAAAACTCTACCATTATGAACGTGACTAAAATTCATGTGTAAAATTGTTATTTAGTAATTTAGGATTATTTAACGTAATTAAACTATTATTTTTTAATATATTTACAGATAATGCATTAATATTTACCTTTTAATTGGATCCCCAAGGTCAATATACTTAAATGAAAGGGAGCAAGAGGGGGGACAATGAATATTAAAAAAAAACCAGGCCATTATGAGCCTGATTAAAATTTATGTTTAAAATTGTTATTTAACAAGAAAATACTTGAACGTTGAAAAGTTATGATCTTGTAAAGTTGATATACAACAAAATAGTGTAATTGTAATCTTTACTTGGTCGCCATTTTTAAACGATGAGAAATTTCCTTTATATAAATTAATTTTTTCGATAAATTTTGATCCAGTTTAAAAAACTTGAAAAATAAAACTTTTTTTTTTCCTTCCACATATGGGACAGTGGGACCCGAATTTTCTGGTTAATATTGTTCCCAAACCCCGATGAATGCAATTTTTGTATTAAACATTCTTATTTGATACACATATTATTAATATCGCTAATATCGCTATTACTGGTTGCATAAATGCTTATTACACTGAATGTTTTAGTTGTAGTATAAATGACCCTGCTGAAACTTTTGCATATTTCAAAAATCTTCTGAGATAGTTGACTTTGTGACTCATTTTCCAGGCAACCTTATTTATTTAACTTCACTCCATGATTTGTAACTAGTCTCTGAACCTCTACCTCATTTCTAATATCTAATGACCACACTCTTCCTATGATCCTAGAGTCTCACAAGCATATCCCATTGAATGAATTAAAAAATTGTTTTATTAAAAAGTAAAAATAAAAAAAACTCAAAATTGAAATAAAACAAACATAATATATAAAACAAATTAGGAAATATAAAAAAAAAGCAATTAAAAAAAAAAAAAAAAAAAAAAAAATGCAATTAAAAATATAAAAAAACATAATAAGGGAATAAAAAAACTATCAAGTCTTACCAATAATTAAAATTGAGTAAAAAGAAAGTTGTTTGCCAAGTTGATCCATACTTTTCTGAAGAGGAGTTTTTGGAGGCTATAAATATATAACATAACCAAATACATTTTTGAAAATTTGTTTTATCACTCAACAAATATAGTGAAACTATATGTTGTCACAAGTAAATCATAATCACAATAAAATAACTATAAAATCATAAAAATAAAAACCAAGGTTTTATTAAAAAATTATATATATCATCACCAAACAACAGTATAGACAGTAATAATAACTGCTTGAAAAAATTTTAAAAATCTTTTGAAACAATACCTCCTCATCCTTCATCATTTGAAAGACCGACCCAAACTCAGAATTAGTACCAGTTCCACATACTATGCCCTAAAATAAAACAATTTTTTCCTTATTAAATTTATGATACTTTATATACTTAAAGGGGTAGTGTAGTAGTAGAGTGCTTGCTTGTGAGACCAAGTTGTTAGGAAACAGTAATAAGATCAAGTATTAAGAAAACAAACTTATTTGTCAGTTTGTTTTCTAAATAATCTCATTACTGCCTATTAACATAAAACTAAATTTTTGTTATTAAAGTATAAAAAAGAAAAAAAATAACACATTTAAAAAAAGATTTTTTTATTTTAATTTTAAATACTTTCTAAATAATAGACAATCTACGATAATCCAGAGTTCTGGATCATCATGGCTATTCAAAAATAAATTTCAAGTCAAACTTTGCAACTATTAATGATGGTTGAAAGTAACTACTTTTTAATTACATTTTTCAATTATCCAACAAATGTATCTGACAAATGACTTAATTATTCAACTTAGGTATAGATTTAAATTGAAAAAAATACTTAAAATTAAACAGGAGAAATGCTATTAACTAAGGAACTTGGCTGAGATTTAAATTTCCTGAACTTACTTTTAAACTTTAGAGCATTAAACCTCCCAAAAACTCCAAGGGTGGGGGCAGGGGATATAATAGTATCATATAGTAATAGAATTTAATAAAAAGAATAAAAGCCTCCTCGACTACAGTCGAGGAGGTTATTATTCTTTTTATTTTACTTTTCATTCTATTTAGAACACTCTCTTACCTCTAACCTTTAAAATAGGAACCCTGTTGAACTTCTTTGAAACTTTAAAATAGGAACCTTGTTAAACTTCTTTGAAACTTTAAAAAAGTAACCTTTTTGAACTTCTAAATTGTAAGCTGAGTGTTATATCACTTCTACTACCACAGTTAAAGTATTGCTAATAATTCAAAAAAATTTTTAATATATTTTGAAGATGAGATTTCTGTTCAAAGCATGATGAAACATTTGAACACCATTTAATGTATCATATCTGATCTGTTGTTTAACTTATTAGGAAAACAAAAATTATTCACCAGAAGAAATTAGTCACAAACAAATCATTACCATAGTAATAATGTGATAATAATTAACAATTGTCATTATCATAAAAAAATATGTCATAATTTAAAAATGGAAAAAACTGTCAGACATATTTAAGGGGTTAAAATTACCATATCAATTTACAGCCCAAGAATGGAATCAGAAATTAATAGATTGATATCAATTTGCAAACAAAGTTATGATGGATCATAGCAAAATCTATATAAACAGAAATTTCACAATGAGGTAAATTCTTAAACTAAATGTTTTTTTTGTATTTTTATTTCTAAGTTTTTTTTTAATGCTTCAATTACTATGTAATAAAAAAGTTTTATCTGAGATTTTAATTTGAGCATTACAACTTTTTTAATAAGCGTTTCTTATAAACAATTTTAAAATTATTATAAATAATTTAAACTCATTCATTTCTAACATAATTGAAACAGAAATTTTTTTTTTTTGAAAAAATAAAATGTTTCTTTAAAAAAAAGGTTTTTTTTTTTGTTTCACAAAAGGTTTTGAACTTATTCATAAATTAAAAATTATTCATAAAAAAAAATTCTTTTCAATAATAACGGTTCAAAAGATTTTTACTAAAACATGGAAAAATAGTTTCAAACGTTCAAATTTATTATAAATGCCTACATAAAAAAAATTTTATACAGCATTTTTTATTAATTTACAAAAGCCTTTATGTAAACAATCATTATAATTAATTTTTATGGTTTTATTTAAAGCCTTCGCAGAAAATAAAAACTTCAGAAAAGATCAACGTTTAAAAGTTATTCACAATGTAACACTTTTATTATTGCATTTAAACTGTTAAAACATCAAAATAGCTGTGGTCAAGTAGTAAGGAAAAAAAATAATTAGCGTGGTCAGTTACAGAGTGCCATCGCATCCCATTCCTGTCTAAGCTTGATAAGATTATTTCATATTTAACTTGGTCAGGGCCTTACAAGCGGCCCTGACCAAGTTAAATATGAAATAATCTTTATTATATTTAGCGTTGCAGAAAAAACTAAGTTTCAAAAACAAATAAAGTAAATCTGACAAAATAGAAAATTAAATTAAATTAAAAAAAAAAAAAATGAATAGTATAAATAAACTGTATACTGTTTTTTTTTTTAAGGGTGGTTGTTATTTTCAGCAACAAAATTGGGTGAGCAAAATAAAAAAAAAAATAAAAAAAGTTTTAAAAACTTTTTTTTTCTTTTAAAAAAAGGAAAGCAAAAATATAAATTGCTATCTGTTTGTAAAATATATTTAAACAATTTTAATGTACAAGTTATATTGTTACATATATAATGTATATATCTTTACATACACTCATATGTTGGTTTGTTCATGTATGCATATGTACATATCTACGTCATTGGCTTTACTTGTACTCCACATTTTTAATTATGTAATTATACTTATTTGTTCATTAGTAAGCACGCAGTTAGTTTAGTTGGAAAAGGAGTTTACTTCATACATGGAATGTCATTGGTTCGAAACCCACCACAATCTAATTTTTTATTGCTTTTTGTTTAAATAACACTCATATGTTTGCTTTGTAACCATTTATCTTTTCTTTTTTGTATATAAAAAATCTTTCTGTGGTATGTTTTTGAATGATACAAATCTCTTCACATTCAGACTCCTTATACCATTTAAGCCTCTCCATGTATTTTCTAAGGTGGACACATATATATACATAGCTTTTAAGCTTCAATTATGCCATGACTTCTACACATTTTTCACATAGCTTTAATTGTTTCATATTACCTTTCTATTTCTGTACGTTTTGTTATCCCTAATTTTTTAGTTTTTTTAGTGCCTTGTGATTTTGGATACTTGTTGCTTTTTAACATCTGAGTTAACCTCTTTCTTTTTTCGCCTAATTATTAATAATAAATCTTTGCTTGAATTTAGTGCTTTTATACCGGAATATAATAGTTTTTAGCTAACTCTCAATCTAATATCATCTTTTATCCTTATTCCCATTTTATAAAATACTAAATTTAATAACAACCAACCTAAAAGACAAAATAAAATCAGTTAAATTATAGTTATTAACTTTTTTATTTTTTTCTATTTAAATTTATTTTTATTTCCTGTTTTGTTAGTTTTGCTTTCTTTATTTTTGAAACTCATATTAAGTGTATTTAAAACAAGTTTTGAAATGCTTGATATAATAAAACTTTCAAACAGCCGTGACCAAGTAGTCTAAAATAAAAAAACTTATGGCTGAACTTATGAGACAAAAAATCACATGCGTCTCCTAGGAAGACTTGACATTGCAAATATGATTGAATGGACTTTTTATTATTTAGCAAGCATTTACGGTGGTAAATAATTTTTAAAAAAATTTACTCTTATACTTTGACAAAATCAACTTTAGTTGAATTATTTGAATTATTTAAAATTCATACATATACATATGTCAGTTTGTCATACATATACATATATCAAGTTGTCATAGATATACATATATCAAGTTGTCATACATATACATATATCAAGTTGTCATACATATACATATATCAAGTTGTCATAGATATACATATATCAAGTTGTCATACATATACATATATCAAGTTGTCATACATATACATATATCAAGTTGTCATACATATACATATATCAAGTTGTCATACATATACATATATCAAAGTTGTCATACATGTACATATATCAAGGAAAAAATTAAGCAATCACAAAATAAGATCATTTGGCAATCTTGAAATTTTGAAATTGCTGATTTTTATATTCCTTTTAAAGATTTATAGTAAAAAAATGTAACAAAATTAAAATTATTTTCTAAATTTTTTAAATATTTTGTTGTATTAATTATATCAATTATAAATTTAAATTAGGAATTTTTTTATTTATTTACACTTTTGCCGATAAAAAAAAATTTACAGTCGTAACTTATAAAAAAAATAATTACATGACCGAGGCTAGAAGAAGACAAATTTAGTCTTATCATTAAGCCCCAAAGTCTTATCATTAAATTAATTAAAAATGATACCTTTCCTTTTCCTGCTCGTACTAATGTTCCCATAAGAGCCATGTTTGATTTTTCACTATTTGTACTCAATGTCAAAGTACACTTTCGAGCAGGTTTAATTTCCCCAGTAAAACTTGATTCATCAATTTCTAAGTGAATAGCCTTAAAAAAATTAATAATTCTTTAAACTTATAAATAGGAACCAATATAAATACAACAACTAAGTGAAGTTGTACTTATAAACAAGTAGAGTTATAAAGTTGTTAAATGATAGGTGAAAATTTTGAGATTTTGTGTTTTTATAACATATTTTTTAAATCGTTAATTAAAACTAAAAGTTATCATAATACAAATTTCAATATAATTTATATTATTCTGATATTTTTCTTTTAAAAATCCATACCTCAAACAGTCGTAGATCAGCAGGAACGCGATCACCTGTTTCTACTGCAACAATATCACCAGGGACCAATTCTTTTGCTAAAAAATTTACCCAATCCCCATTTCTCAAGCTAAAAAATTATTAAAATGAAATCAATTACAAAGAAAGAAAAAACTAGTGTTAAGGCTAGAACTAAAACTACAGTGTATATTGTAGTACCTCTCTGGTACTACAATAATAAAAAAAGTAAATGTTTTCTACCTGTGCTAAGCAATATATACATTAAAACAACTTTATAATTGCACAAAGTTTGCCAAAAAAAAATAAAACTAAACAATTTTTTATGACTTATTGTCTAACTATTTTTTATTGATAAATTTGTTATGATAATTAAAAATGTAAATGAATGGTTTTAAACAATTAAATAATTGATTTAAATATTAATTTAATAAATTTAAATCGTAATAACATTAAAATAATCATTCTCAAAAACTTTATCTAAGAAGTAAGAGTAAAACAACAAAAAAATAACTTTTTATTTTATTTTATAAACCTTTATAAAATTGAATAGCATTACAAGTAATGTATTGTACAATTTTATCTGTCCTTTAATGTTAATAGTTTCCTAAGAATGCAGGTTAAGAAACATATCAATTATGCATTGAAAAGGCAGTAGAGCTTCCAATATTGCTTGGGAGGTAAAGGTCACTGACGCCATCAAGAAGGACACAGAGATATTTTTGAATAAAAGATTTTTGGTAAGTAGTAGTTTTTGCGGTGTTAAGAGCATACGGGAATCTATTAGGGTTTCTGCTGTTGGTGTGAGTTAATTTAGTGGTTATAGAATGGCATGAGTCTGCAAGGATCTTTTTGAATATATTAATACAGATCATGACTAGTGACTCTTCAATATCAAAAATAATATTGAAGCTGCTTGAATTAGTTACATCAATTCCAATAATGTGTAGGGCATTTTTATGAAAATGTTGGATCTCATTATTTTTATGAAAATGTTCCTATTCTTACTTCATGCAGCACTGCATGAAGTAAGAATAGGAGCATTATATATAAAGTGGTTAATAGTGTAAGATCGGTAGACCTGTAAAAGGCTATTACCGATCTTCTTGTAGAGCCCACAACTAAAGTTTGCCAAATTTGTCTGTTTTTAGTCTATTTAAAAGAAATATATATTAATTTTATTTTTGTTTATTCAATGTCAAAGCTATAAAGCTGCTCTTGCATGTAATAAATGGTACACATAAGAGAAGCAAAAAGTAAATAAAATTGATTTCATTCTTTATATTAGTTAGCAAATAAAGAATATAAATTAAAATTAGCGGCAAATCAATGTTGAGGTTAAAGCTGTCAATGTAAAATTCATGACTATTTTGGTAAACTATTTATATTTTTACTTAAAAAATGTAATTTAATTCAACTTATGCAATCGCTAATTATTAGGGCAAGGTATATTGTAAATATATTTTAAACTCCCTTTTTTTGTTAAGAACAGGAGAACCATTTTTTTTTAGGATATTTAGATCAGGATATTTAGATCAGTATGCCCAATAAATTTTTAAATACAACACTGATATATATATATATTTTTTTGGCGACCTCTAACAGTTTAAGGTTGGCAATTTATTACCGACCTCATTTTTCTTTATTTAGAGGGCTGATATATATATATATATATATATATATATATATATATATATATATATATATATATATATATATATATATATATATATATATATATATATCACACACACACACACACACACACACACACACACACACACACACACACACACACACACATATATATCTACTATATATAGGTATATAGATACAATATATAGATTAGCAATTGCTTACTCTTACTCAAAAAAAGAATAATGAAAGCAAAGATTGTTGCCCCAGCCTAAACCCTTAGTCAATGTAGTGGTACTACTGCATGCAGCAGGCTATAAGATTGTTGATGTATGCACTTAAGCCCCTGGTAGAAGGCTATTTTAGTATGATGCCAGACTGTTTATCTAAACACAAATTTATAGTTAACAAAAAAAATCTAATCACAAAAAATAGGGCTTCTGGCATCATTTTGTAGTAAGAGAGAGAGAGAGAGAGAGAGAGAGAGAGAGAGAGAGAGAGAGAGAGAGAGAGAGAGATGGGGGTTGCATAGTATAATATTTTATTTTTACTACATTAATTTGTAACGGTTATTTTTTAAACATAATATCTCTCATCATATTATATTAAAATAAGAAACTTATTAATGGTCATTCCAGCGTGTTCGACACAAAATTCTCGGCAGCCATTGCAACCATGGTAATAGCAAGAAGTAGCAGCACTTTTTTATTAAGAAAAGTCCTTGAAAGTGTATGCAAATATCTAACTTACACAAACTTTAAATGTAATGTTAAAAATAAACTAGTTTTAACTTCACTTGAAAATTGCATTGCAGCAATATGTCCTTAATATTTGATCTGAAGCATTTTTTTTTTTTTTTTTTTTTTTTTTTTATACAGTTTAATAATTTCCTTTAGACAATATGGCCGAGTGGTTAGAAAGCAGGGCTCCTAATACAGGAAGTTCATGTTCAATTTCTACCAACAGTGTTTTTTTATATATTTTTTTAATTTAATCTTTTTCGATTCATCTAAAATACAAAGTAAAGAGCTTTTGAAATAAAAAGCTTGTTTTGAAAGAAAGAAAGCCTTTTTATCACGCCTCCATTAAACATTCTAAACCAAGTGCGCAACAATGAAAGAATTTAGATAACCATTAAAACAGTATTATTCCGCATAATAAATACTGGAAGAATCAGCTCGGACGCTTTTAACTAACAATACATGAGTCATTATAGGTAAGGTTTTTGTATTTCCTATTTAACTTTTATAAATTTATGAAATATCTTTAAATCTTTTATTAACATTTTCATAAATGATATAATTATTGAGTATATTTTTATTTGTAAATAGTTATTTTTTTTTAATTTTTTAATCTGTTTTTAAAGTTACTATAGTTTAATTTTTTAATATTTTACTTAATGAAACATGTTCTGTTTTATAGGTGATGTATTGATATTGTATCTTAATGTCAAGATGTTAATTTTATAGATCCTAAAGTTGATCTTAATTAGTATTTTTGGAGTTAGTTAATCTACCAATTGTTAATTAATAATGCAGATGTAGTTTTTTTTGCAATTAAAACTTTTTTTTTTAAATATTTTGTTTTCTTATTATGTATAAATAAATTGACTTCCAGTTAATACATGTGATACATTTTTTCCTTTTTTTAATTCGATTAATTTTTTAAATTAATCAGATGGTTGTTCAATATAGTTATACAATTGAAAACTATTAAAAACTGTTAAGTTTTGTTAATTTGTAAATAAATGTTAATTTTTTTAATAAATGTGTAAATAAAAATATCTTTTATTTTACAAAGCATCAGGCATTTTTTAAAAACTACAATCTGTAATGATTTGTATTTTATCTATTTGAATGAAAGTCTATGCAAATATCTAACATGTAATTAATATCAAATTTATATATATATTATATATATGATATAAATTATATCAAATTTTACAGATTACTTTTACTTAAAAATTTTTATTTTGACAATATCTCCTTAATTTTGATTTATAGCATTTGTGTACCATTTTATAATATTTGGTATATTAAATAGTTTTAGAAGATTATAAAAAATGCCAAGTGGTTGAAGTGCTTTGTGTGGGTTCAAATCTTTTTACTTACCCACTTATTTTTTTTTTTTTTTTGTTATCTTTTCTTATTTTCTAGAATACAAAGTAAAACATTATTAAAAGCTATTAAAAGGATATTATATTTTAAAAATACTATGGATATTACATAACTTGAAAAAGTTCAAAGAAGATCAACTAAATTGATACCAGAGTTAAGACATCTGAGATATAATCAAAGACTAAAACTATTAGATTTAACAACTTTAGGAGTTCGAAGACTAAGAGGTGACCTTATACAACAATATAAACTATATAAAGTTTTTGAATCTATTGATATGAAGAAAGTCTAGATACAAATGCATTCAATCAATACACCAGGTCCAGCATCCAATATTAGAGGTTAAAAACATCGTGTTAAATCAGAGTTTATTAAAAATTGTTTAAGTAGACAACACTTCTTTACAAACAGGGTTGTCTTTGGATGGGCAAATTCACCGCAATTGGTAGTGGAGTCTACATCAGTTAAAGAGTTTAAATCCAGACTTAAGCTGATTGACTTGCAGATAATACTGAACAAGAAAAACAGGTTGCAGTTAATTTTTAGACAACTATTGTGTTGGCTGTCAAAGATATTGCCTGGCGCTCTATCTCAACAGCATTTGAATTATTATTATTATTATTATTATTATTATTATTATTATTATTATTACTATTATTATTATTATTATTATTATTATTATATGCATAACATATATAAAAATATTACATACTATAACAAACTAAAGGGAGAGGTATTTTTATAAAAGCTTTTTAAAATTTCTAAAAACATAAAAATACCATTGGAAATTTTTTGTGCATATGTCATAATAGAGATACTTATGTTATTAATGTGCTTAAGTAATTAGTTAAGCCTGCGCATTTAACGCACATTAAAGAGACAATTTTCTTATAGAAAAAAGATTTGACATGCAAACTTTAACTTTCTTCAAAATTAACAGAGCAAGAAACCTAAAAAGCTGCAGATGGTCTGAAAAAAATTATTAGAAAAATATTAAAGAAAAATATAAAAAGGTCTTTTTTTTTTGTTCTATTTTTTATAGCAATTATAAAGTATTATAAAGTAAATAAATATTTTTATAAAAATTATAAAGTATTATAAAGTAAATTAATAGTTAACTCAAAAAGATTATTATATTTTGCTAATTTTTTTAAAATACATTGACATAAAACAAAATTGTTAAAATGGTCAGAGTGAAATAGACTCATCATGACCAGTATACGGGTCACGGTAAGTCTGTTATTACACATATTCAAGTCATCTCATATTTTTTGAAGTTTTTTAAACCGATGGTAATTATTTAACACATTTCAGATGCGGGTATTCTAAATATTATTTAGATGGGTACTAATATCCAGTCCGTTGATCAATACCGATTCGCGCAACGACTACCAAAAAGTTCAAAGCTTTTTAAAGTTAATTAAAAAAAAAAAAATTTTTATAGCTTTAAAAAGTAAACAATAAGAGAAGTTTTTCTCTATATATATAACTATTTTTCTGCCGCTTACTAAAAAATATTAAAGTAAGGAATAAGTATAGAAAAAGTCGCTGTGGAATAAATTTACCAAGACTCGTATTTTAAGGGTCCGGACAGCTAGTATTTAAATACTATCTAAAAATATTCTTGTTAGGCAGAGTTTAAAATAGTGTAAGAAACTGTTATAATTTACAGCTTAAGTTATAATTTAAAGTTTAAGTTTAAGTTATAATGTAACTTTACATTATAATGAAGTTATAACATAACAACTTCATGAAGCTATTTTATTACTGTTTATTGCCTTTAAAATAAAAAGAAATAAATTAAAAAATAAAAACGTTGCAATTATTAAATTAAACATTATCATTGTAAAATTTTAAACTTTATATTTGCGCAAAAACATGCCGATAGACCAAATGAGTCTATAGTCAATAGACCAAACAAGTAAGATCAAGAAAAAAAACATTAGATACCATGTTTTTATAATTTACTGTTTCTTGATCTAGAACACTATTATAAATTTAAGTATAATTAATTTTTTTATTCAAAGGAATGATCCTTGCTTGCTTTTAATGCCGCTGCAATGGAATTTATAATTAAGAGGGTTAAAATTCTTTTAAAATTTTCCTTTTTTTTATTTTATTTCAAATTTCAAACACAAGATTATTTAAATAAGAGAACATTAGAATACTAAAACTTTTGCTCAAATAGATTTCCTTTTAAAAGGAAATCCTAAAAACAACTTGCGTTTTTATAGAAAATGATTGATCTTGATATCTCTTTAAATAAAAGTAAAAAAATGTTATCACATTTTTCATATTCTATTTGAGGTTTCTTGTAATATAAATACCTTGTAACAATAATATAGCAACTGAACTGGTTGTTTTGATTTAGTCTATAGGTAAAGCTACTGTAATATACTTAATCTATTCAGTAAAAAAAACTGAATATAAC